ATGGTTAGTGATGTTTTTTTGTCACTGTTCTAATAATATATTTAGATAGGGACTTGCTATGCAGCTCAAGCTCCCCTTGAGTTTGAAATTAGGGTGATCTTCCTGCCTCAATCTCCTGAGTGCTGTTATTTCAGTCATGTGCCAACACACACATCAAATATAGTTTGATGTCTACTTTTCAGGTTATACCTGAAAACTTCTCCAGGTAACCAATAAATCATCTTTATCACCTTTCTGCTGTGACAGCTCCAGCCTCATTTTTTAATGGACTTTAATTTCAAATAGAGAAGCACTTGTGAGAGTGTCACTTTGGACTTGGACCCCTGATACACCATGTTGTGTGCATCACTGAAGCTGTCTGAGGTCTCCCAGCCTCTGATTCTCTAGTGTTTTTTGTTTTACTGTAATAAGCTGGGATGTATTTTCAGAGTAATCCTTGACACACCCCCTTGAGGTCAGACCCTAGTATCCCAGACTGAGACCTGCGGGAAGTAAGGGGAAATGTGATAGGAACAGGATGAGAGGTGCTTTGGCTCTCGGGGTCAGTACATCACTGATGGCACTGTGTGCTTTGAAGATTTGATCTGCCTTGGGGAATAGATGCCTCTGCATTTGTGGTTAGGGAGGAGCTTTGAAAATTGTACCCTCAGGTCCACTGAGACTGAAAGTAGTCACCATAAAACAACTGTATCAACAGCTCTGCTCAGTTCAGAAAACGTACACTGCAGCCTCCATCCAGAGATGATACATCTTTGAGGGAGCTTGGTGCCCATTGTCTCACCTGGAGTTGCATTTTTCACCTCCATTTTTCAATATCCAGAGAGTAAATGGACAATTCATTTTTGGCATCTTCAAGGTAATCTGAAGTTTGAGCAATAAATGTTATGATGTATTGAAAAGTCTCTCCTTTCTTTCCTCATTTATATCTCTATTTGTCCATTTATTTTTCTTTCTTCCTCTCTTCCTGTCTTCCATGTCCTTCTTCCTCCTTTCCCTCCCTTTTTGTCTGCATCCCTCTTTTGTTGACATTATAAGGTAAGAGAATGGTCTGTTTGAGTTAGATATGAGACTACAAAATAATTTGTAAAATTCTGAAGATATGTTTTATTTTTATATACTTTCCAACAGCCCCTCATTATTTATTTTTTTTCAGCTTTAATTGAGTTTATTGGTACATTTTAGGGATACAGTACAGTTACATTCATTTTTGGGATCATGTACCTCTACATGGCAAGTCTTGATTCTCATTTTTTCCTCTTACCTCTGCCCTCCCTTCACCCCCTCCTCCCCTACCCATCTACAAACACTTTATTTTCATCTTTTCATTCTCTCACATTTTTTTCTTTTCCCTTTTTACTCTTCCTCTACCCATCCCACCTTCCCTACACCTTTAGCTCCTTTGTTCCCATTTCTAAATGTCAGTAATCTTATTAGAATCTTATGCATTGTTGCAGATTATTCACACCAGGGACACTATTTGGTATTTACACATGTGTGACTTATTTATTTCACTTAGGAGTATATCTTCAATATGTTTCCATTTTCCTATGAATGAATCTATTTTCTCGTTCTTTATGGCTGAGTAATATTCCATTTTATAGAAAAACCACAACTTCTTTATCCAGTTTCCAACGGATGGGCAAATAGGCTGTTTCCAAGATTTAGCTATTACAAACTGTGCCGCTATAAACATGGGTGCACATACTTCTCTGTAATATGATTCTTTTAGTTCTCTTGGAACGATACCCAGCATAGGGATGGCTGGGTCAAATGGAACCTCCAGTCCAAGCTCCTCATTATTTACATCTCATGTATATCTGAATGACACATGTAACTGTACTGTATATTTAAAAAGTACCAATAAACTCAATGAGAAAAAAAATTAGAAGTCCAAACTATATGCAGCCCTGCTTTGTGCAGCTATGAAATGAGATTCCTGAGCTGAACTCAATCTGTCACTCCTGCTTTCTTTCTTCCATACCTCTCCCCCTCAACTTCTCTCCTAATCATCCAGGGTTGCACATAACTGGAAATGAAACTGACAGGAGCAGTCATTTCAGTTCCTGTGAATAGGTAATTTGCATTGACTTGTTTCTCCTCTCTACCAAATCCTTGTATGTTTTACAGCAGTTCCTGTTACATAAGTGTGAACACTGGGTCTGAACAGGGAGCTTCAGGAATCTCATGAGCCACAAATGCAGGTCACAATAGCCAAATCTGTGATTGGATCTGTAACTGTTTAAATCCAGCTTACATTTGGATGGTTGATGTTTTTATAGTCATTTGTGTATCACCAGAAGATGCTATCTTCTGCTCGGAGACAAAATTATAGAAGCAGAGAGCCAATGTTGTGCGGTTTCATTGCATCATTTGATAGCACACATCCTGTAAATGTGTATTTTATGCTGAGTCCTCAAGCACTGTTACAGAAAGTGCTTAAGAAAAGCACTTAGATGTTATGAAATTGCCAGCCCACACCAATTATTTATTGTTTCATTTTTAAACTAAAAACTACTTTTCTTTTTGTCTTCAAAAAACAAAGTCTTTGCTAATCAAGATAATCACATTTACTTGCAGAATTGTACATACAATATTACTTCAAATAATTTTCTTTTAACAGGAATCTTAGCTCTATGGGAACTAAACATTGAAACATAATTTTAAAATTCTGTTTTGTTTCCAATATAAGATAAACAGAATAGAACACAACTCAAAGAAATTGTTTATACTTCTCTCCTATCCCCAGGCATCAAACAATATATTATTTTCGTTTAGCAAAGTATTGTCTAACCTAGAAATCTTCTTTATGGTCTGATTTTAATATCTTCATCTTCCGGTACTACATGAAAAACTCATCAAATGCTAGAAGAATGCAAATAGTTCCCTTGTCGATCCTCATCACGGTGTGAAATTTTTACCCTGCAAATTGGCCCATAAGCCCTGAAAGAAGAACTGTAATTTGTGGGTATAGCATTGATGACAAAGGAGTGATTAACTTGAGAAAATAAACTTTAAAGAAATAAAATGTCAAATGCCATTAAATTCCCAGTTTTTTAATGATATGATGCCTGTCTTTGAGTAATACAAAAAACAAATTGGTTATTTTTATTATGTATTTTATACTGATGCACAATAATTATATTCCACTTATTTTATTATCATAAATATTTAAAATGTATTCTTATAATAAAGTAATTTATTAGTAGTTATTGAACTCAGGACAGTGAACATATCATGCAAGTTTTCCAATGATACCCACACATCAGAGTCATCCTGGTTTGGGTGCTGCTCTGTGTTTGGTGGAAATCTTGCCTTTTGGATTCTTGCCAAGAAGATTTGAGAGGAGGTCCACGGAAAGAGACTCACAGTCAGAAAATAGTAGTGTACAGCAAGGATGTTTGTTGAAAGACAAACTCAGTGCATTTAAAATAAGCCTAAATTATGAGTGAGGATGCACACTTTTGAGAGTTGTATGATATTTGAGAGTTCTCAGATTTAGAGAAGGCAACTTTCAGTAACTTACTTATACCCTCAAGAAGGGCAGGGTGGTGGGCTTAGCCTCAGAGATGGAAACTGCAGTGAGTTCTGAGCTGTGTCTTTTGATTTGCTATATTTTGGAGAAGTGGTTGGGGATGATAATTAATAGGGCTTCTTTTCCCTAACTGTGAGTCTCCATCTTAGCATCATGAGAGAGAATTTTAGAATTCATGTGGATTTGGTCAGAGCCAGTATGATAGCTAAAGCCCAAGTAGAGGGTTAAAACCACAATATAAATGCATACAAATAAAGCCTAATTGGGCTGACAGGGTGACCTCAGTTTAAATTGGAGTCTGTGCCTCTGGGGTACTGTATAGAAATTAAAGGCATAAGTCTGACTGGGACAGGGAATGCACAATGTGGGTTTGATGTTCTCTGGATGCCTGCAGAGGAGAATCTCAGGAAATCTAGATCATAGCCTTTCTTAGAATTTTCTTCTATGTTCCTCCTGCCATTTCTCTATATCCACTTCCAGTCTAACTATGTACTCTGCCAATATCACTGAGCTATATCCCCAAATACATGAAAAAATGGCTGTGTACCTACAAACATTTACTCACAAAAGCATTAAGTTGGCAGGATTTACCTCCAAAACTATGTTTTCTAAAATTGTACTCATTAAAACTTTTATTCTACAATGATTTGCCTGAAGACATCTTAATTAGTCCAGTTAGAATAATTGGATCTGACATGCCCCAGAATGACCTACGTAATGAAAATTTGGTCCTCAGCCCAGTCCTATTGGAAGGTGGTGGTTTCATTGAGTGGTGGGACCTCCTTGGGGCCTAAAACGGTACTTGAGATCTGCCCCACCTGGAATTTGTGACCCCGGTTTCCTCCTGTCTTTCTTTGCCACTTCTTCTCTGTGAGGTGCACTGCTGTGCTCTCCTGCCCTGATGCACACTCAAGTCTACAGCAATGGAGACAGCAGGTGATGGACTCAAACATGAAAAACATACGGCAACATAACTTTTTTCTACATTTTTATTATTTGATGTAGAGTATCAAATGTTTCTTTACTATTTTATTCTCCATAAGTACATTTTGAAAAGAAAAGATAGAAAATAAAATCCTGAGTACTATAGTTATACACAATGAATTGTGTATTTCAAAATAGGTAGAAATATATGATAGCTACAAGGGAGGTTTTTTAATGCTTTTTTCCGTAAATAAATGATACATGTATAAGGTGTGGATGTGCTGATTGCACTGATTTGATCTTTAGTGCATACGTATGTCAAAATGTAACACTGTACCTCCTAAAGATGTATAATTTTCAAAACTTTACTAAAATTTAAAAAACTTGGAATAGGGAGTGGGTGGGAAAAGAGATGCTGAGGGAAATACAAAGCAAGTGAAGAAAAGAGAAGATAATCCTGGGAAAAGTTACCCATTTTGATTTCAAAACATAGACATAATTCAGATGGTTTCTCTACAATTTGTTTTTTCATTTTTTCCGCCAGACTTGGAAAAAACGTGAAACCAGAAAATATGTCATATACTACCACGTTTGTTCTCCTGGGATTGTCAGATGATCCACACCTGCAGCCCATCCTCTTTGGACTCTTCCTGTCCATGTACCTGGTCACAGTTCTTGGGAACCTGCTCATCATCTTGGTCATCAGCAATGACCAGCACCTCCACAGCCCCATGTACTTCTTCCTGTCTAACCTATCCCTGTCTGGCATCTGTTTCATCTCAACTATGGTCCCAAAGATGATTATGGACATTTCAACTCACAGCAGAGACATTTCCTATGTGAGCTGCCTGAAACAGATGTCTCTTTTTATCATCTTTGTATGTATGGATGACATGCTGCTAACTGTGATGGCCTATGACCGCTTTGTGGCCATCTGTCTCCCTTTGAGATACAATGTCATTATGAACCCCAAAGTCTGTTGGCTGCTGGTTCTGTTTTCCTTCCTTATCAGTGTTCTGGTTGCCTTGCTCTACACCTCAGCAGCACTGCAGCTGTCATTCTGCACACACCTGGAGATTCCCCACTTTTTCTGTGAACTGAATCATCTTCTCAAGCTTGCCTGTGCTGATATCCTCATCAATAACATCCTGGTGTATTTCATAACAGGTGTGTTGGGTATTGTTCCTTTCTCCGGGATAATTTTCTCTTACACTCAAATTGTCTCCTCTATCTTGAAAATTTCATCAGCTGGTGGAAAATATAAAGCTTTCTCTATTTGTGGGTCTCACATAATAACCACTTCCTTGTTCTATGGCACAAGTTTTGGGGTGTACCTCATTTCTACAGGTGCTCAGTCCCCCGGAAAGAGTGTAATAGCCTCAGTGATGTACACTGTGGTGACCCCCATGATGAATCCCTTTATCTACAGCCTGAGAAACACGGATATGCTGAGGGCTTTGGGTAAACTCATCTGTGGAATAGCATCTTTCCATTTATACCTCAGATGCTTATACTACTGGAGTAAATCAAAGAGAAATACATAATGAATGATTTATAAAGACTCACTAGTGTTTTTTAATATAACTGAGCAGAGACCAAACGGTACAGGATGAAAACTGTGAAATCAGAACAGTTGGGTTTAAATTCTACGTGTGTCATAACATAGCCATGTGTTGTGGTTTAAATCTAAAGTGTCCCCACAAAGGCCTCTGTGTGGTTGGCCTATGGAGGGTGACTGGACCATGGGAGCACTGTACTGAACAGTGGATTATCCCACTGAAGAGTTCAGAACTGGATATGCTGTTAGAAAGTTGGGTCTGGTCGGAGGAGGCTGTTCACTGGAGGTTTGACCTGGAAGGATACATAATCCTTCCCATCTCCTCCCTTCACTTCCACTTCTTGGCCACCACTGTGAGCAGCTGTCCTCTGCCAGGCCCTCCCACCATGCCCTTCCTGTCATGGAACTGGCTGACTATGGACAGAATCCCCTAAAGATGGTGAGCCAAAATAAAGCTGTCCTTAAAGTTGTGGGTGTTGGATGTTTTGTCCCAGTGATGGGAAAATGACTAAGGTCCTGTAAGTTCTTTGACAATTTATTTCAACTTGCTAAGTTTTTTTTCTTCTTTCATTATTGAGTACATTTTAGGTAGACAACACAATAGCATTCATCATTGGAATCTTGTACCTCTACATGATATACCATGGTTCTTATTTTTCCCCATTCCCCTATCCTCCCTTTACTCCCTCCACCCTTGCCTATTTACAGAGACTTTGTTTCCATTTATTTCTTTTTCTCTTACTTTTTCTTTTCCCTTCTTAGCTTTCCCCTACCCCTCTCACTTCTCCTATACCTTTAGACATTTTTTCATATTACACAATATCAACTATATATTTTGGTTCTTATTTACACTTTTAGTTTATCACACCAGAGAAACTATTTGATATTTACACGTGTGTCTTATTAATTTCACTTAAGAGTATGTCCTCAATGTGCATTCATTTAGCTAAAAATGTCTCTAGTTTCTTGTTCTTTATGGCTGAGTAGTATTCCATTTTATTTAAAAATGTATTTTTTTATCTCATTGAGTTTATTGTTACTTTTTAAGTATAGAGTACAGTTGCATTCACCATTGGGATCTTGTACCCTTACATTACAGATATTGGTTCTCATTTTTCCCCACAGCCCTGCCCTCACTTTACCCCCTCCTCCAACCTCTATTTACAAAGACTTTGTTTCCATTGTTTCTTTTCTCATATCATCTTTATCCAGGCTCCAGTTGATGGGAAATTAGGCTGTTTCCAAGTTTTAGCTATTGCAAACTGTGTCTCTATAAACGTGGGTGAGCATATATCACTGTGGTATGATTCTTTTAATTCTGTTGGGAAGATACCCAGCAGGGGAATAGTTGAGTCAAATAGAACTTCCAATCCTAGTTGTTTGAGGTATCTCCACATTGATTTCCATACTGGTTGCACCAGTATGTACTCCCTCCAACAATAAAGAAGGGTTCCTTTCTCCCCATAACCCCACCAACACTTGTTATTGGTCATCCTTAAAATTGGATTAATTAGATTTTGTTCACATTTAGTCTTGCACGGGGAGATGTCGTTTTCACCAAAGATGGACTGGACTATATGGTGGTGGGTGGGCTCCTCAGTTATAATGGAGATAAAAATTTTTTTACCTGATGCTATTGTTAGCTGTGGTAAAATACAGTGCCATTGTGGTGATAGTGGCATAAGCAAATCTATTATACTATGATTTTGTATAAAAGTGTGCTATTATGTACAAAATCTGATACTTGATAGTGATAGTATACAACTTTGCTCCTGTTTGGTGTAATTACTGTAATATGTATTATTGCTGCTCCATATTGTGATCCTGTTTGTACGAAATTATTTTGTACACCACAATGCAATGTCACCTGGTAATAGTCTTATATATCTGGTGTTTAGCAACCTGCTTCATTATTTTCTTTTTTCTATGATTTAACCTCATGTTTAGTTCATCATGATCCCGAGTTATATACTACCTATCACCTATATATCTCTCAACTATCTATCTTCTACCAAGTATCACAGTGTGGTTTTAGTTGCCCTTGAATTCATTATGTTGCTTACACTGGCCTAGATCTGTTGATACTCCTGCCTCAATCTTTGGAGTGCTGTGATTACAGAAATAGGCCAACCTGCATGGCTATACACTATGTGTATTTAACTCTCTAAAATCATAAATTTATCTTTACCTAAAATTTTTGTCATTTTGTCTTTCTTAATTAAGGCTTTGATAGCTTTCAATTATATTTGAATATACCATAACTCATTTTGTGTTATTTTTCCATTTGAATGAGCAATAATTTCAGCACTCCTTACTGAATGGTATTATGCCTTCCAGTAAATTCCAAATTATCACCAGTAAGGTATGTAGTGCTCCTTCCCATCTTCGTGTAGTTGAGGGTAGAATTGATAACAATTTTCTCTGTAATTCATTAACATATTGTTTTCACTGATGCAGCTCTATAATTTTGTAATCCCAATATTTCAAAGGCAAGAAATCCAATTTATTATTCTCTATTAAATCAAATATTCTTTGTTGATTTTTCATATATACTTGAAAATATGCTTGTGGCATATAACAAAATGGGAAGATTGGTATTAATTTTATAAAGCTATTTGATGATAACTGATGTCTCTCTGAGAAATTTTGTGTATGTATCAAAAGCACAATATTCTTGCCAGTTAAGTCTCATATAATGTCCTTTAGTAAAATATTATATATATATATATATATATTATACTATATGTATGTCTAGACCTATAACTGTATCTATTATCTATCTATCTATCCATAAAACTTTGACTATTTTTCCTTGCAACTATTTTGCCTATTTATTTAATTGTATTATTATTATTATTATTATTAGTAGTAGTAGTAGTAGTAGTAGTAGTAGTAGTAGTAGTAGTAGTAGTATCATCATTATTGTACCAGGGATCAAACTCAGGACCTTGTGCTTGTGGGGCAGGCACAGTGCTACTGGGCTATATCTCTGGCCCTCATTACCTTTTAGAGCACACATTTTCTATATAAATTTTGCTTTTGGAAGGAAACTAATCAAGCAGATATCCTAAAAGTAGAAAGTAGTTAGGTGGTTTTCAGAATCTGGGATATTTGGGAGGGGTGATAGAGAAATATTACTCACAGGGCACATAATTATATTTGAGAAAATAACTTTCAGAGGCATATTGTACTCCAGCAAGTCTATAGTTAATGATGTTATACTTTTAAAAAAGCATTGGTACAATTTAGATACACATAACGATCACACTCACCACAGGGAACTGCCACCTATGCATGGTATACCTTGATTCCTCTTTGTGTTCCCGTTTCCCACTTCTCTCTTCAACCCCTTTCCCTCCTTATTTACAAAACTTTATTTCCATTTTGTCCTTCTTTTCTCATTTTTTTTCTTTCCTTCCCAATGCCTTCCCCCTCCCTAGTTGCTCTTTCCTTTTGAACAACTTTTCCCATTTCACAATATTTGTTATGTATCTTGGTCCTTATTTACACTAACAGTTTCTCTCACCAAAGAAACAATGCTATATTTACACATGTGTATGTAGTTTACTTCACTTAAGAATGTGAAATAGGAAGAAAAGGGATAAAGGTGTAGGGAAAGTGGGAAAGGTAGGGGAAATGTAATAAGGGAAAATATAAGAAAATGAAAAAAAATGGAAATAAAGTCTTTCTTTGTAAATGGGGAGGGAAGGAGAGGGTGAAGGGAGAGCAGGGACAAGGGGAAAAAATGAGAACCAAGAGCTGTCATGTAGAGGTACAAGATGCCAATAATAAATGTAACTGTACTGTATACCTAAAATGTACAAATAAATTCAATTAAAAAAAAAGAATATAGCTTTGAGCCAGGCGTGGTGGCACACGCCTGTAATCCCAGCATTCTGGGAGGCTGAGGCATGAGGATTTCTTGAGAGTTTGAGACTAGCCTGGGCTACGTAGGGAGTCCCAAGTCAGTCTCAACTACATAGTGAGACCCTGTCTCAACACCCCACCCAAAAGCAAAAAAGTATAGCCTTGAGGGAGATGGAGATGTTGCTCAGGTCACAGTTCCTGCCTGGCAAACGTGAGGTCCTGAGTTCCATTCATGTACCACACACACACACACACACACACACACACACACACACACACACACAAAGAATATAGCCTCAAGGTGCATCCATTTAGCTATAAATGTGTGCAGTTTATTTTTCTTTATGGCTGGATAGTACTCCATTGTTCAAAAAAAATCACATTTTTTTTCCTCATTGAGTTTATTGGTACATTTTAGGGGTACAGTACAGTTACATTCATCATTGGGATCTTGTACCTTTACATGCCAGTTCTTGGTTCTCATTTTTTCCCCTTGTCCCTGTGCTCTCTTCACCCTCTCCACCCTTGCATATTTACAAAACTTTGTTTCCATTTATTCATTTTCTCATATCTTTTATTTTCCTTTATTTCCTTTCCACTACCCTTCCCACTCTGCTTACATTTTTAGTCTTTTTTTTTTCCGATTTCAAATTGTCAATTGAATCTTATTTACTCTTTTAGTTTTTCACACCAGAGAAATTATTTGGTATTTACTATGTGTGGCTTATATATTTCACTTAAGAGTATGACCTCAATATACATCCATTTTCCTATGAATGACTCTAATTTCTCATTCTTTATGGCTGAGTAGTATTCCATTTTATGGAAAATCACATAGACTGGATAAAGAAGAATCACATCTTTTCTATCCATTCATCATTTGATGGGCATTTAAGTTGTTTCCATGATTTAGCTGTTACAAAATGTTTCACTGTAGACATGGGTCCGACTATGTAGCTGTGATACGCTACTTCCAGCTCCTTCAGGAAGATTCCCAGAAGCAGAATACCTGTTTCAAATGGGACTTCTAATCTTACCTTTTCTGAAGAATCTCCACACTGATTTGTACCGTCTACTCTTTCACCAAGAGTGAAGAATGGTTATTTTCCTCCACAGCCT